GATTGAGGAAAGAGATTGGTTTTTCTTGAGCAATCTTTCTCAAACCTATATCTGCTTGAGTGACAAACCTTTTCATACCTATTAATTCATTAACCCAATTCCTCATGACATTGTACAAAATCAAAAACAAATTCAAAATTAAAAAAAAACTAAAAATGCAAACCTACAGCACTCGCAGACTGGTTTCGTATAAGAGCAGGGAGCGGGCGAGATCTTCGGCCTTGCAGTGGGGGTGAGATCTTCGATCAGAGGGACCTTGTTAGCAGCCGGAGGGACCATGTAGGAGGGCGGAGGGAGCATCTCGATCGCGAGAGGGCGGAGGAGACGAGGGCGAGTGTCGCACAGGAGAGAGATGAACAAGCGAGTAAATGAAATGGAAGGCTCGGGACAGCTCATTTTAGGGCATTTTTCGGCGACTTTTCGGTGATTCAGAACTCCAGAAATAATTTACTTAACACCAGCGATTAAAGCCGCCAATAACGCGCCGGTAAGGAATAATACCGGTAGATTAACCGGCGATTATTAGGTTGCTGCTATTTCCACCGGCTTTGAATTAAATAACAGCAAGTCAGGCCACCGGTAAACACCGGCGGTCAAACTACCAGTTAAGCTGTTGTTATTACTGGTAGTTACAGAACCGCTAGTCCAGACCACTAGTAATTGATGAATTTCCAGTAGTGTCACATACCATGTATCTATTTGATATTACATATCTGATTGATGACTAGACTTAATCAAAAGTTCTCTCTCACAATCGAGAGGGGTAATCAACATAGGGGCTTGCGCCTATAAAAAACTAGAACTCAGATCATAAAGTCCTCGCAAATTGAGAGAAAAAGCTATGGGTAGTATTTTAGTTCAAACCCAATCTTCCTTCTAAAAATTTACCTCGAAACTTAATTTGTAAAACTCCCCTAAAGCAGGGGAGGTCAGGGAGTGAATTTTTGGAGCCCACACTTCCTAAATTTAAATCCTAACATAGGATATATCAGGGTGTTTCTAGATTAATTTAGAATCCCAAAAGACCTTGTATTTCTCATCCTTTATCCTCCAAAATAAGTGTTCAAAAATTGATTTAATCCCTTTTGAAAATTCCAACCTCATTCACTTCATATCACTCCTTAACAATCCAAAATAAATTTTTTATCATTAGTTTAATTGAGAGTATTCATATAAAGCTTAAACTTCCTACGATGTAATTAACTATGAAGTCTTGCCATTGTAGGAGATTCAAGACCCCAAATAAATCAAACTCCATATTATTTAGCACCTAAATAGAATGGGAAAAAATTACTCTCTTTTGAAAAATCAAAATTAAGGACTATTATTATCGTCTTATTCAAATGATTAATAATAAGTAATATTATCTCTCTTTTGGAAAATATATCATTCATTATCGAGATGGTTGAATATGAAATTAATGATAAAATTATCTAAGTTATCATAGTTAGATACATATTCACATGTCATTTTGACCCGTTTGGGTCATATGTAGTTAACTATGATGATCTGAAATAATTAATGATAGAGCGTTATAGCTAACATTATCAAACATATGATTGAATATTATTTTGGTTCTTCAAAGTCATATGTAATTCTCTCCTAAGTTTAATTATGGTAGTTGGGATGAAGTTTATAGTTTTATAGTCTGAACCCTTTAGAGAATGATATTTTATAGTCTGAACCATTTATATACCATTCATAATGACGAGTTCGACTACAAAATTAAAAATTCAAAAGTTTATATTCAAATTTTCCTAAAGAAAATAGATATATAATTGGTTTGCTTTTTCTAAGAAAAGATTAACAAACACCAATCATAAAAAATAAGGATAATTTTGCTCTGGTAAAACTTACACCATCAAACTTATTATATATATATTAAGATTTTAAATATTTTGAATATTTTTTAAAAAATTTTATAGTGGCGGTTTTAGAATTTATAAGATTTTTTATCAAAAATAAAATAATCCAAACTCTTAAAATTAATATTGTAGTATAATCAAAGTCTTAAAATAGTGTTATGCATAATATTTGGTAATTAGGTTTTTTTTTTAAATGTGTATTTTTTGCTAAGTAGGATTTTCTATTACCTATGATTATGACATTTTGATAAATTCTGAAATGTGTTTATTTATGCTTCATTTATTGCTATTCATTGAAATATGCGCTTAACTAGTTGAAATGGGTGATTTTGTGGAAATCTAAATGGGTGGAAGAAGTTCTATTTAGATAATATTTATACATTTTACTTCATATTTATTGAATTATATTTGTTACTTAGAGGTATTAAACTCAGTCTATTATTTAGAATTGTTAAACTTTGTCTATTACTCAAAGTTACTGAACTCTATCTATTTGGAGGCATAAGGTTCAAAGTTACTTAACTCTATCCATTGGGAGGGAAATATGAAGTGCCTATATATTTGACCTAAATTTCTAATAACTGAATTTAATTATTTGCTTGGTTTTTCTTTTAATACTCAATGAATATTTAAGAAATAAAATAATTTTAAAATTTGGATTGATTAAAATATGGCATGCTCAGTTATTTTAGCTCATTGTAATTTTACATTTTATTTTTAGGGTTTGGCAATGGGAAGGATTCAATTGAGTGGCCATTTTAAAAATCTGATCAAAGTCTATATGTATTATTTTATTTTGATTTTTATACAATCATCACTAGCTTTTGTAATGTTTTGTTCAGTATTCTACTATCAATAACAATTTACTGTAATGTTAGTATTGTATATACATTTTGGTGAGGAAATGAAAGAGATTTGTTAATGCGCTTATTTTAGCACTTTGGATATTTTTAGTAACTCTATAGTCTATTATTTGTTTTAAAATATATATTATAATAAAACTTAAAAAATTTATAAAACTAGATCTTGATATTTTCTTATCATATCTCAACACGATAAGATATATCTCATCAGTGGGTCTTATTGGGTTGGATTATGACACTTTGGATATTTTTAGTAACTATGTAGTCTGCTGCTGGTTTTAAAATGTATATTGAAAGAAAATATGAATTTTTTTCACAACTAGATCTTGGAATTCATCTGTTACATCTCAACATAATAAGATATGTCCATCAGTAGCTCTTGTCGAGTTATGACACTCTCTTTGATAGCTTCAATTGTTATACAAGTTGAACTCTCTCTTATATAATTTCAGTTGTTGTATAAGTTAAACTTTCTCCTTTCAATAACTTCAATTGAATTCTCTCTTGGATAGCTTTAATTGAACTATTCTTAATGACTTTAATTGAACTCTCATTTTATGACTTCAACTATTAAACGAGTTGAAATCTCTTTTGGAACTCTCATTCAATGACTTTAATTAATGGACAAGTTGAATATGGCGGATGAATTCACCGAGTATTTATAAAATTTCAAAGATGAGTTCCATGAGTACTTATCAAATTCAAAGAACTACTTATTCAAGTAATTGTGAAATTCCTAGAACAAGCTCCCTGAAGGCTAATCATTTTTTCTTGGACTAGTATCAATCAGTACTGAATTCTAGATATTTAATGTACATTGGTTCTCTCTGGTTTGTTTACTCCAATGCTTAAAATACTTGATTTATAATTTTTGACATAATACATGCTCATTGTGTCATTTAGTATTAGAATCTTACTTACAAGACTCATTAAGATAGAATAAAAGTGGAGAGAGAAATATAAAACGAAACACCAGAAAAAGAGAGAGAAAGATGATCAAAAAGAAAAGGTTAGATATCTTAATATATTGTTGAAAATATAGTAATGAATACAAATGATTTGTCATCCCCAAAATTTGACATTTAACCACTATTTATAGGTTTGGGTCAAGATTTTAATATTATAGGCCACTTTAAGATACATAAGAAAATATATTAGAAAAAATTGTAACAACCCAAACTTTTAATCATTGAGATGCTGCCTACTTTGACATAATAAAATTTTTGGAGAAAAATAAAAACTAGAAAAAATGAGAGAAAGTGGACCTAAGAGAAAAACTTTAATATTTTACTATAATGTGATAGAAATGTACCCCTCAAACTTAAGGGAAAATTCTATAAGATGGTAGTGAGGCCTGCAATGCTTTATGGTGCTGAATGTTGGCCTTTAAAAGAGAAGCATAATACTAAGTTAAGTGTGGCAGAGATGAGGATGCTCAGGTGGATGAGTGGCTTTACCCTTAGAGATAGGATACGAAATGAGCATATACGTGAAAAGGTTGGAGTAGCTCCAGTAGAAGATAAGATTAGAGAAAGTCGCCTTAGATGGTTTGGTCACATAAAACGGCGGCCTTGCGATGACCCGGTTAGGAGAGTAGAGGTATTAGATTTGACTTATGTTAAGAAAGGTAGGGGTAGACCTAAAAAGACTTGGTTAGAAAATATTAGGAATGACCTTTCTTTATTAGATTTAAACGAGAATTTGACTTTTAATAGGACACAATGGAGAAAAAGGATTCATGTAGCCGACCCCACGTAGTGGGATAAAGGCTTGATGTTGTTGTTGTTGTTGTTGTTGAAAATACGGTATTGAATACAAATGACTTGTCCCAAACATTCATGCAATGATAAGCTATTTATAGGTTTGAATAAAAATTTTTAGTGTTCTAGCCCACTATAAGCTATCTAAGAAAATATATTAGAATAAATTATAATAATCCAAACACTTAACCATTGAGATATTGTCTATTTTGACACAAAGGTTTTATGATTTTTATACCATTGGTGTTATTTCTTAGGAGATCATCCATCCTTAGAGCACTCATATACATGCACACTTAATTTATAAGTTTCTAAAGAAATTTTGACGGTACAGTAAAAGGTTTCCCAGAACATTTACTAGCTAAATTTGAAGTTCTATCCAAAACTTTGTTAAATCTGATATAAATCTGAAATTCTCCATGAATACCCTCAAAATTTCTCTCATTCTTGGAATTACTTATTACAGCACCATTCGACCCATCCTTCTCTACAAAAAGTGCTCAACCAAATCATTTATATATCAATTCATTCATAGATCAATGGAGACCTTACTTCCTTATCACCATTTTCAACTTTAGACTTAATCCATTTACTAGTAGTTCTGATAGCTTTTATACACAATGCAAGAATCTCTCATATAGTAGTAGATACACAAATAGTCAGCAAATTGCTGTTTGTGCTGCCTCCAAACAGAACAATCACAGAATAATAGAACAAGGTTACATTTGATAGTGTTAGAAAAGAAAGCACCTTAAAATTTGTCCACGATGATGCCATCTCTGAGCACCTCATACGCATCTCTGCTCCTTGTTTTCTTTACGCTAGTGTTGAAATGGACCTTTGAACCCTGAGTAGAGATGGATGTCACCTTGGCCCAAATTATGACTTTGGTCTTCATACCTTCTATATCAGACAGGATTCCCTTCTCCAGATAGCCAGTGACGCAGGTAAGAAATCTCAGGACGGAGGAATCCTTATAACCAACCTCACATATGGAGGGTATGAACACAGTAAGCTTCCTTGTTTCTTCGTTGAACTCGTAGTTAGTGGCATCCCGAGGGAAGATGCCTACTGGCAGGTCATACTCTTGTAGAAGATCTGGCAGAGGCTTCTGCATTTTACCTGAAGAGGTTCATTTTCCATTCAGAGATATCAACTAGCAAGTTAGGGCAACTCAAATGGAATGGCAAACAAGTGTTTGCCCGAGCGCCAATGCTTATGCCATTTTATCGGGGATGAACAGTGTGACACCATACGACATTTTTTTTTTAAAATTAGAAACTTAATTATTAATTTTAAAGATTCAAATTTAGAAATTTTTTATTACTAACTAAAATAATAAATTAGAAATATCTTATTTCTTAGAAATCTAAATTTTTTTCACATAATTAATTAATTTAAGTTACAACATTAAAATAAAAATCAAGATAAAAATTTATGAGTTTTTTCAGTTGGAGACATATTTTTTATTATAATAAATTAATAAAAATCAACATATATATATTTTTAATTATAATAGATTTAATTCAAAAATTCAATAAATAAAATTTATGATTAAAAATATATAAAATGAAATATGGAAAAGAATATACTAGGAATATTCTTTTTTTAGTATTAGAAAATGGAATTCGGTTGGAGACAAGTTATAGCATTTTCATGTATTACTTCATTTTGGAGTGAAAAATGAGTTTTTTGGTTGGAGATGCCTTTAGGATGGAACTTTTATTTGGTCTGGTCACAGGACGTAGCTCTACGTTCGGCCGCCAGTAGAATCGCGTCACGCTTTTTCATTATTTACAGCGCGCCCCGACAACCCGACCCGGAACGGACCCAGGATGGCTCTGTATTTCTCGATTTTGCTAGGTATTGCTCGATATTGGTCTTCACAGAGCGGTATTTCTCGTTATTGCCAAGCAATACCGAGCAAATACCGAGTAATACCTCGCAATATGCGAACATAGCATTCCCGGGTTTCGGTCCGGGTCAAGTCGTCGGGCCGCGCGGTAAAGAGTAAGAGCACGTGGCGACATGTTATTGACGGCCCAACGTAGCTCTACGTCCGGTCAGAGGACATAATAATTGTTCCTTAGGATGAGGGTTAGGGTGGGAGGTTAATTTTAATATATATTGTCAAAATAACATCACAAGGCCACAGGCTAAGAATGAAAACAATTTTGCAGAAACTAAGTTAAAACAAACATTACTATATAAATCCTAAGAACAGGAAAACAATACACTGTAGTGCACTTATCATGCATTCAAAAGAGAAATAAAAAAAAAATGAACGAAGCAACTAATGGACACAACATTATTTTGGATTGAAAGACGAGCAGCATTTGCTTAACTAAGAAAGAAAGTTTGCAAAAAACTTTCCAAATTCCAGCATATAGGATGTCTACGTAAATATTTATGTTCTGCACTGCAACGGGCAGCCAAAAGCTAGAATAACATGTTTCTGGAGTACAGTAATTACAAATGGCTTTGGAGCTGTTTGGTTTGATGCATTTAGGGTGTAGAGTAAACCAAATGAAGGGGTTTTGATAATTGTGTGTTTGGTTGGATGAAAAATAAATTCAAGGTAAAGTAAAACAAATGCAGTGTATTCTATTTTAATTCCTTTTTTTGTGTATTTGGAATTCCTCAGATTTGAGCGATTTCTAAATACACCATAAATTCATGGTATTGCTACCTCTTGCCGGCCACATCCACCCGCCGGCCGGCCAGCGTCGACCACAACTAGCTGCCACCACTGCCTACCGCTAGGAAGCCACCGGTCAGCAACCGATGGCCAGCCACCTCCTCCCACCCACCGCCGCCCACCGCTAGCCACCACCTCCGACCACCACCACCGGCCACCCTAGCCACCGCTATTTACATTGTAATCACTTTACTTCAATAAAAAAAAATAATAATGTCACTCTAAACCCTTTACATTCATCCAAATAAAAAAAAATTTTCATTTACATTGCATTCATTTTTCAAGCAACGAAACAACACCAACAGATTTAGCGGTCATAGGCCTAGTGTCATACATAATGTGTCAAATTAGAAACATGAGTTGGATGCCCTCTACATGTCATAAATCAATAACGAAAATTCATTATAGCTCGCAAGTTGACAAATGATGCGTAATTTTTGGAAAAAGGACAAAAGAAAAGCATTATTCCAATAAAAAAGATCCTGTAATTTTTGGGGCTTTTCTTTTTTCTTTCATTTCCTGCAGTGTATTTGTTCTAGAAATGAGTCTATGCAATGCATCTTTTACAGCATATGATCTAAGCATGTACAAATAACATTCACAAGTAAAAACGCGAATGAAAACAAGATTCTTTCTAGCGTTATATTTTGACTTGAGCGTCTCAAGTTAAAAAGCATACCAAGTTTACCATAAACTATTTTTTTTCCTCAAGATATATAATGGTATTCCTTAAACAGATCAGGGAAATGGAGGAAGAAATTTTGGTATGCAGGCAAAGACTTCCAAGTCTCATCAAGCAAGAAGCAAACAAGGTGTTCTCCGTAAAGCTAACTTTATTGCAACTTCGGAATAACTTGAATGTCCAACAGATATGTATAAATCACAAAACCCGAATGTGATGATTATTCCTTATAGTTAAAGAGAATGATTATGGTTCTCATCGAGATAATCAAAGCAAAAACTGTCTAATTTACAATTTTGTAGTCACTACAATGCATTGTATTCTCAGAACAAACAAGGTTAGGCGATCAAGACTAAAGAAAGTACATGAAATTTTCAAAGCCATTAATGTACAGACTTCGTACCTTTCAGCTTATTGACCAGCCATTTTGCTCCGTTTTCAATGCTGCTTGAAAATGACTGTTTTCATCATGTGAAAACAAACACCTTGAGGAACTTCCAGGAGAATTGCAACTTATATTCATTTAGAAAAATTATATATGCCAACTATAAAATAAGGGCAGCATGATCGATTAATAACCAAGACAATTTCATTGTAAAAGAACATCACAGAAACTGATATAAATAATAAAGCATTGAAACTAATGTAATCAAGTGAAAATATAACTTTTATGACATCATTAGATTAACCGTCTTAACTAGGATTTAAAAAAGCGTAAACTCAAGAGTGTAAAGAATAAATGCCCTATCAAGTATAAAGTTAAAAGAATGCGGCTTCAAACTGAAGAGCGTAAAGAATAGTGCAAGCTAGACTTATAGATCAGGTATGCATAGAAGGTATATAGTATAGCCTAATAAACCAGCATATACATTGAAAGGGGATAGCTTCAGGTACTTATCATGCCACTTTTCAGTATCTTTTTCTTAAATTTAATAAAGATAACATGAGAACTTACCTACTACATGCATTCCACGAACCTAGTTATTTTATAAGAGATTCACGAGTTTTGTATACAGATAAACATTTGCTGAGTATCAGCATTAAGCGGATTTTAAAGAGGCTAAGGGAGTGGGAGTATGAAGTGAAAGTCTTCAAATCTTCATCATGACTAAACTAACGAAGAAGTCCAAACCTAAGGACATGACAAAGAAAGCTGGTAAATAAAGCCCTCCACAAAAAAGAAAATCAAAGAAGTCAAAGAATGGTTTTAGTTTATTTTATATTTTTGAAGGCCTTTTTAACTTAGACACTTTTTAATGACAATATGAATAATCATGCTGGAAGGAATGCAGTGCAGGGAGTGCTTCTGAAAGAATAAAAACTGGTGGGCTTATGGGCTGAACGAAAAATAAAAAATAGGAAGCAATGATTATGGCGCTAAAGTTAAGATCCACCAATGCAAAGCAGTCAAACGACAAAAGCAATTTCTTTCAAAAAGGAAACGGAGTAAAAGTCAAATAATAGTTTAAGTTTCTAGGATTCCAAAATAACCAAAAGATTGTGCCACAGGATAATTTTTCAGTTGAAATTTCGAATAGAAAATGCACGCTGCTTTGAGGAAACTTCTAGTTCAGAACAAATGTCAATTGAACATATTTTCCATTATTCTGCGGAATTCTGAAATCCAAAATTTTCAGACTACAAGTGCCTTTTTTTCAGCTGAATCAGAACTTAAATAACTTAAATAATTGATGCAAGCAAAAAAATAAGAAAACCCCTAATTTTTGCAAGCAAAAATTACACTTCCTAAGAAAATAAGAAAATACAGAAAATTTCACGAAAATAGACAACTTTATAATATAAAAACTACACTTACAAACGACGCTTACAAACTTATGAAATAAAAGTCCTAAACTTGCATTTCATTCGTCAAGAAAAAAGATACAGATGGGGTGGTCAATTGCGGCGAGAAGAAAGAGGTAAGAAGCCGAGATGAAAGAAAGGACTAACTCGCAAGCTTTCCTAGAAGAAGAAGGATAACTGGAACAAGCTCGCAAGCTTTTCCAAAGAAGAAACTCAGAGGTTTTTATCCAAAAATTAGTCACATAACATATATATCTTTTATTACAAAGCACCTTATATTTATAGGAGAAAAGAGGCAGCCAAACATCTTCAATTTAATCAATTAAAAAGGGGAATTAGAAGCAAGGGGCTGTCCAGGAACATCACCCAAACAACCACCTAAAAACCTGAAAAAAGGCACCAGCAGAACCGGGATAGCATACAGGGAAGGGACCGGAATAGGCACCCAAAGGGACCGGAACAGACAGCTAAGCAGGGAAAACTAAGGGGTCACAAGGGGAACCGGAATAGGCAATCAAAGGGGAAGGAACGGGCTTCACAGGGAATCGAAACCAGCAGCCCAGGGAACTGGAACAGGCCACGGGAAGAAGAACCAGAAGGGCAAAACTGAAGAGACACAGGAAAGGGAAAAGGAACTAGGGGGAGGAAATCAAAGGGCCACATAAGGGGGGGGGGAATGAATCTCAATTAATTTCAGATTTATGACCTGAATAAGTAGTGGCTAAGCATTTATGAGTTGATTTTTAGTAGAGGAAAAACAAACTCACCAAAATAAAAATCCAAAATTTTTTTGACCCCCATTTGCCTACATCAATTCTCCCCTAATTGAAAGAGCTCATCTCTTGATGATGCTTGAGTATTCTCTGAAGGCGTTGCATCTAGCTCTTGAATTTTGGCCGCATACTTTTTCAGGATTTCTTCTCATATTGTTTGAATTGATCTTGTAGAAGTCGCTTCTTCTTCATGTACTGCTCCGTACAAAAGTGTATTTTCATCTGTAGTCTATATAATTCGTTTTGTATCAGATTTGTTGAACTTCCTTCTGATGGAATCCATCTGTCCATTGGAATTGACACTTCAATATCTTCTGGCTGATTTTCTTCCACAATTGACTCAATATTTTTATCTTTTTTTAATTTTTTATACACTTAAAAAAACACGAAAAAACCTAGGAAGACACAAACCTATGCTCTGATACCAAATTGATGCAAGTAAGAAATTAGGAAAACCCCCTAATTTTTACAAACAAAAATAACACTTCCTAAGAAAATAAGAAAATACAGAAAATTCCACGAAAATAGACAACTTTATAATATAAAAATGACACTTACAAACGACGCTTAAAAACTTATGAAATAAAAGTCCTAAATTTGCATTTCATTCGTCGAGAAGAAAGATACAGATGGGGTGGACACTTGCGGCGAGAAGAAATAGGTAAGAAGCTAAGATGAAAGAGAGGACAAACTCGCAAGCTTTCCTAGAAGAAGAAGGAGAAGTGGAACAAGCTCGCAAGCTTTTCCAACGAAGAAACCCGCAGGCTTTTATCCAAAAATTAGTCATATAACATATTTTTTTTTATTACAAAACACCTTATATTTATAGGAGAAAAGGGGCAGCCGAGCATCTTCAATTAAATTAATTAAAAAGGGGAATTAGAAGGCCAAGGGGCTATCCAGGAACAGAACCCAAACAACCACCTAAAAACTTGAAAAAAGGCAGCCAGGAGAACCGGGACATCATCCAGGGAAGGGACTAGAACAGGCACCCAAAGGGACCGGAACAAACAGCCAGGCAAGGAAAACCGAGGGATCACAAGGGGAACCGGAAAAGGAAATCAAAGGGGAAGGAACGGGCTTCACAGGAAACCGAAACCAGCAGCCCAGAGAACCGGAATAGGCCACAGGAAGAAGAACCAGGAGGGGAAAGCCGAAGAGACACAGGGAAGGGAAAATGAACCAGGGGAGGAAATCAAAGGGCCACATAGAGGGAGGGGGGGGGAATGAATCTAAATTAATTTCATATTTATGACCTGAATAAGCAGTGGCTAAGCATTTATGAGCTGATTTTTAGTAGAGGAAAAACAAACTCACCAAAATAAAAATCCAAAATATTTTAACCCCCCCCCCCCCCCCCCTTTGCCTACATCAATTCTCTCCTGATTGAAAGAGCTCATCTCCTGATAATGCTTGAGTATGCTCTGAAGGCATTGCATCTAGCTCTTGAATTTTGGCCGCGTACTTTTTCAGGATTTCTTCTCGTTCTTGTTTGAATTGATCTTGTAGAAGTCGCTTCATGTACTGCTCCGTACACAAGTGCATTTTCATCTGTAGTATGTATAATTCGTTTTGTATCAGATCTGTTGAACTTCGTTCTGATGGAATCCATCTATCCATTGAAATTGACACTTCAATATCTTCCACATGATTTTCTTCCGCAATTGACTCAATATTTTTGGCTTTTTTTTTCATTTTTCTAGATATTTAAAAAAAACATGAATAAACTTAGGAATACACAAACCCAGGCTCTGATACCAAATTGATGCAAGCAAGAAATTAGAAAAACTCCTAATTTTTCCAAGCAAAAATAACAATTCCTGGGAAAATAAGAAAATACAAAAAATCCCACAAAAATAGAGAACTTTATAATATAAAAATGACACTTACAAACGACGCTTACAAACTTATGAAATAAAAGTCCTAAACTTGCATTTCATTCGTCGAGAAAAAAGATACAGATGGGTGGTCACTTGCGGCCAATATCTAGCCGCCCTCAAGTTGGAAATAATTCCAAAATTCAGCCCCCCTCAAGTTGAAAATAATTCCAAAATCTGGTCAATATCTAGCCGCCTACTCCCTAGCAGCTTTGTTGGGTTTTACTTCTCCAAATTCCTCCTAAATCCCATCCGGTTTATGTTTTCCTGCTCTCCAAGTTTGCTGTCAGAATTTCCTGCATCTTCCCCTTGCTTTGCCTTCAACTTGAAAGTTCACAAACGGTTGCCTTAAGAGGACAGCTTGCTATCCATTAGTTCCCGCCGGATCCTTTCACCGTAGCACCATTGGAGAAGCTTCTCCTTGCCGTCTAGCACTTCCCAAAGTCAAAAACAGCCCCTTCTCGCATGGATGGCTGACCCGAAAATAGATTACGGCCTTGTCTACGACGAGCACGGCTTCACTCACATCCTACAATCAACCTTTTTCGACGTCAACCCGAGGATCGATAATACTGCCGAGAAATACATGGAACGCATCATAGATAACCTTATTGAGGCTATAGAAAAACAACTTGGGACCGTTCAGTAGAGGATCTCAACCCAACCATGATAAAGGTTTACCAATCTTCCTTCTCTCGTATTCTCCTTGCCTAACTTGTTTTGTGGTTTGATATATTCATGAAGATCTTGGTCATCTACTTCTGCCAAAGCTTAGTAAACGTAGGATTTCGTTTCGCCATTATCAAAGCTTAGTAAATGTAGGGATTGAGTGCACCTCACTTGTTTCTAATCTTATTGTTAGATTAGGGATTTTTCGTTGAAAGCTATTATATTTGCATGTCTTTGATTTCCTTTGTAATTTTGATAATTCATAGATCTTATTGTGCAACTTAGCCTAAATAGAAGTGACATCTCTTACGTTTTATTTTGTCGTTTTTATTTGCT